GTGTGTGTGTGTGTATCCTGTGGTTAAATAGAACGTTAGGAAAGCAAGTCTGCTTTAGCCTACAGTATGTACAGTTAATGTAAAAACAATCGTTCATAACCGTTACACCACCTACTTCATTAGTGCTTTCCAAAACAACTGTAAAAAGAATTCCCTCCTTCCTTAAACGCATCAAAAACCACTAGTTAATAATTTAGCACGTCAATAGCCAGCTTTAGAAAACGGTCATCTTCTGCCATGGTGCTGTTTGAATAATGCATTAGAAAAGCAGCAGTTCATCAAATCTGTAATTTTAATGGTGTTCCTCCCTACCAAGCCAGTAAATGAAAATTAAATAAAAGCTGCTATCAACATCCACCTAATGACAGCTGTTTGGCTGAGCGGCATATGTAAACAATTACTCACTAGCCTGTGCAGTACAAATGCTGAGAAAGTTTCAACACTAAACTCATTAAAAGCTCCAAACCATTAGGAGTATAATGGCTTGGAGGCATACCAATTTGGTGATCTGAGTGTGTTCCTTAGATGTCCACAATTTCAGGCATTGTCGTCTACTGTTTACACAAGAGTGTTGACTCACCTGATGCTCGGAGAAGCGTCATGATTAAAACATTACGGGATGCAGAATTTTAGTCCGAAGAAATTAGACTTGAACTTTTCCTTTTGACATTACTTCAGCTGATGAAACCAGTTGGATGTGTGGTGAAACACAATGTAATTATGAAAATAACTGAGATTTGGATAAGATTTAGTTGTTAATTATGCTGAGTTTTAAAGGTGCTATATGTTATACACTACTGTTCAAAAGTTTAGGATCAGTAAGATTTTAGTTTTAAGGAAATGAATACTTGCATTCAGTAAGGATGCATTAAATTGTTGCATTAAATGTTGCAGTAAAGACATTTATAATGTTACAAAAGATATATTTTAAATAAATGCTGTAATAAGTGTAATAATAGTAACAGTTGCAAATAGTTTTTAGACTATAAGTCTATGCCAGGGGTAGGCAAGTTCAGTCCTAGAGAGCCGCAGTCCTGCAGAGTTCAGCTCCAACCCTAATCAGACACACCTAAACAAGCTAATCAATGTCTTCAGGATTACTAAGGCTATATGCAGGTGAGTTTTTTTTTTTTCAGGGTTGGAGCTGAACTCTGCAGGACTGCGGGGCTCTCTAGGACCGAACTTGCCTACCCCTGGTCTATGCTAATTCACAAATTACCTCAAACGCCATACACGACATTTGATCCTTTAGACTGGCATGTTTGAGCGCAGGAAAATACAGTACAGAATACAGAAACCAAATACTACATCGCCAATCTGGAATCATTTCCATTCATGTCACCCATCCGCATTTGTACAAGTGTCTCCAATTTCATGTGATCGCAGACGCTCGGCTGGTCAGGTTTGTATTCACTGCATTCGGTGTTTGAAAAAAAAAAAAAAACATTAATTACCATTCTGAAACATCCTGTTGTAAGCGCGTTTGAGCAGGTGGTTGGTTGTCTCCTGTCGCCGCCGATTCGGGGTCTGAGTTCGGCTCATGTAAGGCCGGACAAAATTTCCCTCATCAGTGACCATCATTACCGGTGTTTCTATTGACCTTACTTGTGAGTATCACCAATCCACAGCAGGCTACAGCATACCTAGTTACCTGTGGTTGGCCTGTCCGTGCGTCACTCAAAAAACAACAGGCCAATTAGAAGAGAGGCTCATGAATATTAATTAGACAGGCCAAAATCGACCTGTTCTTTGCAGAGCTCCTGAGAGAGGAGCCGCAAATATATATTCTTAAGAACATCAAGACTTAAACTAAAACTCCAGAAATTTATAAAATATGTGACCTTTAAAATAGATCAGAATTAATTTTAAATTGTACTAACATTTAAAAGAGAGACAGACCTTTTTTTTTTTAATAGAAGCAATATCTTTGATTTGTCGAACAATCATGTGTCAGCATTTCCTTTTAGACTGCTTTTAATGTAATACTCTGCAAACTTAAAAAAACTAAAACTAAAGCTTCTGTTAAACTATAGTTAAACAATAATTATAGTGTTCAAAGCATGCTACCATACCTAGTGCAATATGGCACTTTTAAGAATTTACTTATAACTTTGACTATAAAAGTTTTTAAATACGTTTGAATTATTGATATGAAATGGTATTGGATTCACAGAATGAATGTGCTCCTGGTACTTTTGGGGACATGGTATGGGACTGTCATGCAGAGTAAAAGCCTCTCAAAGACCAAAGAGCACTCTCTCAGCACAGAGGGACAACTTCTCAGACATGATTAAAGATTGTGAAACAGCCGGCATGTGAAATCTATAGCAACATTACTTCAGCAAACTCTGAATAGAAGGACTACAGCGATCATATGTTATATAGTGATGATGTACAGTATATCACGGGTATATTAATTTTAGAAAGAAAAAAAAAGCTTTTAGAGAACAAACAGTTTAATAAACATTGAGGAATTGTCAGGTCCTCGATTCCCGGTGATTCCGATTGATAGGACGACACGTCCTGTTTTCTTTTTTTTTTGACACAATTTATTTTATACTTTATTACATAGTTTTTATTAAATGTAAAACATTTGGTACATTGAGACTTCATCTTATTAAAGGGTTAGTTCACCCAAAAATGAAAATTAGCACATGAATTGCTCACCCTCCATAGGTGTGTATGACTTTCTTCTTTCAGACGAATCCAGTCAGAGTTATATTAAAAATGGTCTTTGATCTTCCAAGCTGTTTAATAGCAGTCAGCGGGTGTTGCAGTGCATCAGTCCAAAATAAGTTAAATAAAGTGCATCCATCCATAATAAAAAGTGCCTCCGGGGGGTTGAACAAAGTCCTCCTGTAGCGAATCCATGCGTTTTTGTAAGAAAAATAACCATATTTAAAACGTTATAATCAGTTTAATCTAACTTGCGGCAGCTAGCAGCTCCGGGCATTGACGTATGAGGTCAGCTTTGAGCATGCGCCGCTCAAAAGTGATGAACATGGAAGCGCAGCGGAGAGATCAAAACAAAACAACGGTCACGAATTAGAAGTACAAAATGAGGATTTGTAAAGAAGAATGTGGGAGGATTTTGATATAAGCCAAGAGGAGACTGGTTTTCCTTTACTAAAGTAAGGAAACTTTGCTTCCTTTGCTCCTATAAACAAACGTTGGTTTTCACGAGACTCACCGGACATGCACAATGCCGACATCTTACGTCATCCTCCCAGAGCTGCTTCCGTGTACAACTGTTGGTGCAAGCTAGATTAAAGTGATGATTAAGTTTTGAATATGGATATTTTTCTTACAAAAACACATCGATTCACTACAGGAGGCCTTTGTTCATTTTTTTTTACTTTAATTTTTTAAAATAGTTTTTTGAAAACAATTTTTTTCTGGACCCCAGGTCCCACCCTGTTAAGAAAAATAGGATGGATAATTAAATCTGCTTCTTTAGGGACTGTCAAAGACCCTGGCTTATGAGTGAAACTTTGCTATATCGTTCCCTTTTCTGAAAATTGGAGCTTGATGAAAGCGGTGGAGAACGTGCTATTAATTTGAAGGGTATGCAGAGACCCTCTACTGGGAAATA